CGATAGCCAAAAGCCAGTCCCCTTGATCCAATGTGGGGATGATTGTTGCTAAGGTCAACATTCTGAAACAGTAGTAGGCAATGTACTTGTTGAGTCTCCTCAAATCCAATATGGGTCGCCATCCTCCACTTTTTTCCTGGGTTAACCTTGGAATTCTGGTGGCACTTGTTCTATGGCACCCAGTTGTAAAGGGGCGAAACCACTTGTTGGAGAAGGGTTTAGTGAGATGGGTCCCTGAAGAGGGACGGGGTGGGAGGGTGGGTAGGAGGCAAGGAAGTGAAAGCATAACTGTATTGGATCAGTTCCAGGACCCATTTGTCTGATGTGATTTGGGTCCATTGACAGAAAAAAGACCGGAGAGGGTGGTTGAATTGAGAAAGACTGGGCACAAGTGGTAGTGGAGTAACTCTTGACATATTTTTCAAATCTGTTTGGTTGCAGGTGGGTGGGTTGCAGAGGAGTGTTGGTGTTGGGATCGGGGTCTGCGACGTTGGGGGGTCTTTGCTTTTGACAGAAGTCATATCTGGTCTGTTGTCTGAAGGGCTCCCTGGGCCTCTGGTAAGTCGAATACCTAGTTCTTTTAAAGGAGTGTACATTCCCAGGGTCCTGAGGGTGGTACGGGAGCCCTTCATAGAATGTAACACTTCATCCATCTTGGCTGCAAAGAGGTTGGTTTTGTCGAAGGTTAAGTCTTCAATTTTGCTGCAAGTCTCGGGACTCCTGATGACTGAAGCCGTGAGATCCTTTGGAGTACAATTGCGGATGCTGTAATACGGGCTGCGGTGTCCACTACATCCATTGAGGACTGTAGGGCAGTATGGGAGATGGTGTGACTCTTCTGCATGATATTGAGTAAAGTTGCTCTCGTGTTCTGGAAGATGTTGAGCCAGATCTTGCAATTTAGAGTAGTTGTCATGGTCATAGTCTGCTAGCATTGCCGTATAATTAGCTGCTCTAAGGAGCAAGGTGGCAGAAGAATAGACCTTGCAGCTCAGGATGTTGACTTTTTTGAGGTCTCTGTCCTGTGGAGTGGTCCTGAGATTAGGCTGTCTACCCTTATGCTAAATGTAGTCCACGACCAAAGAGTTTGGAGGGGGATGGGTGAAAAGAAAGTCCATGTCTTTAGGGGTGATAAAATATTTGCGGTCAGGCGTTTTGTTTGTTGGAATAATGGACGCAGGAGTCTGCCAGATATTGTCAGCAGGGTCCATAATAGCCTTGTCCATTGAGAGTGCCATTCTGGAAGTAGTGGGAAGTTGCAGTGTGCATAAAAGTTGATATTGCTTCACTTGTACCTCTTGAAGGTCTTGGAATTTTCTTGCGTCGTCGCTGGATGGTGGAGCTTCGGTTATGACTGCCTCATCGGGAGATGATGAGGAATTGTGTAGGGGGGATCTCTTCTCCCCTTCTGAGAGAGAGTCCTGTATTTCGGAGTGAGCTGGAGAATTTGGTTCAGTCACCAAAGTAGCGATAGGAAGGGAGACAGGTGGTGGTCTAGAGGTGGTAGAAGGGGCACGATGGTGGATCTTCTTGGGACGTGGCTTCCATGGCTGCCACTGAGTGGTGTATGGTGGTGGTGGGTAGGCATACTGCTGAGTGTACCATGGTAGTGGAGGAGGAGGGTATGCATATTGTACTGATCCAGGTTGCCAAGAGGGAGGTCTGTGGGCTGGACTGGAGTGTTGGGAAGAAAACCTACTCCTTAATTCCGTGCCCAACTTGCTGGGAGACCGGGAAACATGGATGACCTGCGGGACCACACTGACTGTATGGAAAAGCCCAGTGTAATCAGTGCCGTTGGCGTGTGACTTCTTATTGTGGATCAGTAACGCTCTTGTCCTTCCATCGGTACCGAGCCGTGAGGCTTGGTTGGTGCCAGCAGCACCACCAGTGCTGAGCGATCCGGGGGAGGCATGTCGGTGCAGGGGTTTTTTGGCACGGTGCTTCGGTGCCGAGTGGTCCTTATGTTGGTCCACCAGTGCGGCTGGTGTTGTAGGAGTATCCGGTGCCATAGTTGTGGGCAATGCTGAAGGTCTGTTTCAGCTCCAGGTGAGCTCTCTTGAGCAGTGCTGTGCCAGACCTATCCTCAGTGCTGACCCAGTCGGTGCCGAGGGTAGCTAACAGGCTAGGGAAAGGCCCAATTTCTATGCCACGAGGCCAGAGGGAGTAGAGGGATGACGAGCCTTATTCATACCCTTACTCTGGGAGGCCGATTTTGGAGCCGTGACAGGGTCTTCTTGCAGTGGTCGAAGGGACTTCTCGTAGAGGAATGTCTTCAGTCTATTGTGCGATCACAGCACACTCTTGCCGTGAGTTTCAAGCAGTGGGGACACTTTATGCACTTTGAATGCCCGTCAGAAACGGGCATAGCATCACGGCACGTCTCGCACCTCTTAAAGCCAGGCCGCAACGAAAACAAATTTTTTTTTTAAACCGTGACTGGGATGGAGAATGGGGTTGAAGAACTTGGATGATGAGGTAACTATAGGGATTAACTGGGTATTTATATAATTATTTTGACAGAAGTCGAAGAGAAAAGAGAGGATCTGTCTATTGCTGAGGATGGTAGAGAAGGAACTAAGGAGCTGTGCTCTGCGTGCACCTAACGGATTCCAACAGCACAAGGGAGTGCTGCAGGGCGTGCACAGTGCAAACTGCTAGAACAGTTTCCAATCGCTAGTATGAGGATGTACCAGCACCCTGAGTGGAGCACCCACAGGGACCACTCGAAGGAGAATGGGATATTCAAAAGGTAGCACTGAGCAGGGAGCTGCCTCAACTAGCAAATGGGAATTGCCAAGGACATGGGATAGGACTGGCACTGCAAGGTATTTAGGGCCAGATTAAAAATACCTTATATAATGTAGGTGCCTAGTGGAATTCTCAAAGGGTCTAGAGTAGTGGTCCCCAAACTTTTTACCTCTCCCCCCCTTTACTGTCCATGCCCCCCTAGGAGCAGGGCCACGGCCAGGCCAGGACCAAGGGGCCAAGCTGGCAGCTGGGTCTGGCAGTAGAACTGTAGTTGAAGGCCACAGCTGGATGAATTTCTGCCACCAGGCACAGAGATGAGAAGCAGAGCTGTGGCTGCAGCAGGGCTACAGTAGAGCTGGTAGCTATGCAGGGCTAGATGATTCTCCCTGCTTCTATGGGGGCTGGCCCCAGCCCCACCATGCTCCTCAAATGTCTTCTGCTTCTCCCCAAGAGGGAATGCACCCAAAAGTCTGGAGACCATAGATCAGGGTGAAATCAAGCTTAGGTTTCTTTGAAAATCCCACTAATATCTTTAAAAGTCTGGGCCTTAGGCATTTATTTCCACTAGAGAATCATAGCCATGAATCCTCTCCCGGAGTTACGTCCCCAAATCAAATCAGTCATTTCTCACAAAAATAAGCACATACAAACACACCATCACGCTAGCCACACTCACCTTATATAAATATTAATTGCATGAGAAAGCAAGAATACAATGGTCAGGGCACTGACCTGGCACATGGGATGGTAAGGTTCACATCCTTGCTCCAACTCAGGCAGAGGTAGAGAGAACTTGGGTTCCCACATTCTGGCAAAGTGTTCTAAGCATTGGGGTATAAAAATGTATTGTGTGAGGTCTGATCCAGTAGACATGCTCTATGGTTGGGCTGTGGCAGTGAGATAGAGGGGTCATGCCTAGTTTATGAAACCTGCTGGGGTTAGGAAAGGGACTGGGGCCTACAAACAACAGGCTCCCATTAAAAATTTAGTCACCATGGGGATTTCAATGGTGGAAAGTTAGGACCTTGGACACCTTCAGGATTGGATGTTTGAGGTTCTCTGCTTTATACTTATGCACCTAAATCCTTTTGTGGATCTATCCCTGCGTGTGCATGAGTTCAAGAGAGCATACTGTATAGGAAAAACAAAACAATTTATATACAAAAATCTTTATTTAAAAAGTTACACAATTCCAGAAGAACCCTTCTACTATATTATGGACACGTCATAGGAAAAAAGTGTACAGATTGTATTACCAGAGCTGCCATACTTGTTTGCTGTTCCCTAACAGTATTACAAATTCTGCAATTGCTCAGACAGGCTTATCAAGCAGGCCTGACCTATCTTTCTTGCTATGAAGTGGGCTGGAACATTATTGCAGAAAAGAAAGCCCTCATTTCCCACAAAGAACAAAAGGAGTAAGAGTTGGGGACATCTCTAACTTCATCTCTGGAAAGAATTTCTTGATTTAGTCTAAATGGGACAAGTGAACTACCTCAGTTTTTTGGAGGCCTAACATTAAAGATTGGATTGTTCTCTTGTCTGCTAGTCTCAAAAAAACGTTGAATAGAAACTAGTCTGGAGTATTGTTATTTCTCATTGAGAATATTAGTATGTGACTTTAAAATATTTAGTTTAAAACTAAACAGAAGAAAAATCAGCCTTTTAGCCTTACTACAGTAAAATCTCACAACTTCATATCCTATAATTCACACAAAAATGGTCTCTTCTCAGCAAATATGTAACAGTGAAGTGCTGTAGCAAGGAATTGCATTAAGACTTCACTGCTTAACATTACAATAATTTACTGACACTATCAAATAGTTAAAATTCAGCTAACACATTTGTCCAATTAATATTGTGATGCATTATCAATACATTGGCATGTTTTTTGGATTAGAATATTCCAGTCATTTGCATCACATTTTCAAGTCTTTAGGGCAATTAATGAGGCTCTACTGCATTCTTACAAGATGTTGCATACCGTTTAAAACTGTTGGCACAGGATGGAATTTGATCAATAATACAGTGCTTAAACAAGTTAACTATTGAGGTTAATCTCAATATGAATGGATTCTTTTTCAGAAGACCCGGTTTCAAACTTATTCAGTGAAAAAAAAAAGTTTGTTTTAAGAGCACTTGAGTTCCAGAAAGATTGGAGCAAGGGAAAGGAAGCAAATATGCCACAAGATTCCAAACATTTGTAGTACTATTTTCAAATCAGTTCATTATTAAATTGACATTCTTGCTTTATTAAAAAGCTTAATAAAAACATATATTTTTGAGCAATAAACAAATCTGAATCAGTTCACAGCTTGACAAGCAAATTTTATCATTTCAGTATCAACATTTAGACACACAGAAAGAGGCAGAAGTTGTTTAGATATAAACTGAGTTTGTACTTTTCTGCAAATTGAGGTAACATGAAAATTCAAACAAAATGTGGACCTGAATTAAAGTACAAAAGGAAATAAGAAAGAGAATGTTCCAATGAAAACTAGTCACTTTTCTTACAGAAGCACAAAATTGCAAGGAAAGTCCTGCAGCATCTATAAAATATGAATAAAGCTGTAGAACAACTTCAGTAAGTGAGAAATCTGCTAGATGAGCTCAAGCAGACTGTTCCACTAAAAAGCACCAGCTGGCACATTACACAAACTGAAATAACTAATTATCCTTGAGTATTTGATGAAAGGCTGTAGATAACTGATGGATAAGCTTTACTTTTAGAATGTATTCTCTTTACTTTTTTAAAGTCTATCAACATTTTTACAATGATCAGTTTTGCAATTTTATTTGTTGTAGCTGATCAAGACTGATACGGTTCAGATTTTTTATTCTCTTTCAAATAAGCATTTTCAATGCGCAGTTTTTCCATTTCCTGTAAAGAGAAAGAGAGATAAATATGGTACTCAGAATTAGGAGAAAATCAGTATCAAGAGTTTATGCGTATTCTGATGTAAAAAGAAGTCACCTAAATGCGATTAACATTAATTTTTGCAAGCTATACTACTTGTTTAATGTCTTATAACTGAAGGAATAATTAAGAAAACTAAACAATTCTCACATTGTTGATTAAACTGATTAGCTATGAATCAAACATTGCAGCATGGAATTGCAGAATGCCAGGTGTACATAAATAGAGGGATGAGAATTCTAGTCTCTTGAACAACTGCAGCTTTATGTTCTACCTCAGGTCATTTATTTAATCTGTATTTTTATCTCTAGGACACATACCTCAGTAAGCTTGGCATAATCTTTCTTCAGTTTCACAAGATACTGAATCTTCTGGTTGAGGTTTTTGTGACCTACTAACATTCCATTCTCCATTGCAAGATTCTCTATTTGCTTCCTTAGCAAGTCCATCTCCTGTAATTAAATAAATGAAATACAACCGTATGTCTTTTTTTTGAAGTGTTCATATTTTAAGAAAGCTGTTTTTTTCATAACTCTGAAGGAAAGGTTAGTTGTTCTTTCAAAAGTTTACAACTGGATATGACTTAGTACAGCTTTGAAATTTTATTTTGAAGAAAAATGCTACTTTTTTTTAGCAGTTTACATTTAACAAAGTAATGTATTTTATTTGCACCTGTCTGATAGTGTACTTTTGATTCCAAACAAGTTGTGCGGTTGACTGGAGAGTTTGTAACTGAGGTTCTACTATGTTTAAGGCCACAGCTATACTTGCAGGAAGGTCTATGATGTGGCGGTCCATCATCCAGCATTTGATTTAATGGGTCTAGTAAAGACCCGCTAAATCAAATGTTGAGGGTGTTGGTGCCAGTACTCCTCACTGTTGCAAGGAGTAAGGGAAGTTGACAGGAACATTTATCCCATCGACCCCCACTTTAGGAACAGTACTGAAGTTCGGCTTAAGGTACGTCAAACCCAGCTATGTTATTTATGTAGCTGTAATTGCGTGTCTTAAGATGACTCTCCCCCGTAGCACAGACCTGGCTTAAGTCTGTTGGAGCACCTCTCATACTTATGGGTCCATCTACCAGCTGATACATGTTACTCACACTCACTGGCTACTCGACTAGATTTCTCAGTTGTCTGAGCCCCTTTTCAGACCACATCTTTGCACAGAGCTCCTCTTGGCATTACACTATGAAATATAGTTGAAATAAAAATAATGTATAAATAAAAAGCTACATTTTGGAAGGCAGTTCTTGATTCCTTGAGGGTTAATTCACAATATTGACTATTTATCATCGTATTGTCTCCCTGTGAATGAGGTTATAGTGGATACAATTAGTTAAGGAAAGTCACGCATTGTTTATAACCTTTTGAAGTTTGTCTCTCTCTTCATAGGTTTCTTCCAGTTTTGATCTCATATCTTCTTTTTCCTGGAATGCTTTTGACTCCAAAGCTCTTGTTCGTTCTATTTCCCTGGTCATTTCAAGACAGGCACTATCTGAACTCTTCAGGGCATTTTTGGTCTCTTCTAATCTGCAGATAGAATACATTTCAAGTTAATCACATTAAATCATTCACATCACTCCTCTAGAGCCTGTCACTTTTTTAAATGAAAAGGTCCTTTTGGTATGTGCTCCCTGGTATCTGCTAATAGATCTATGTACCAGCGTTAAATAGTAAGTGGACTATTTAACACTGGACCATCCAGAAGGGGAGAGGGGCTGGCTGGGGGAGGGGAAAGGGCAGAGGGACTAGCCCGGGGGGTGGGCACCCAGCGGGAAGCAGGGCTGGTCAGGGGAAATCAGGGAAAGCAGGGGAAATCGGGAGGAGGAGAACTGGCCGGGAGGAGCAGGGCTGGTTGGGAGGGAGCAGGGCTAGCCTGGGGGGAGGGGGAGAAATCGGCCAGAGGGGAGCGGGACTGACCCAGGCACATGCAGATCGCAGGGCACTGCCTGTCCTGCACGTGGTCCAGGTGAAGCACGATCAACTCCAGCTACGGCTCCACAACATGCTTGAACAGCGCTCAGGAGCACAGACAGGGCTTCTCCTTCTCCCCAAGCCATCACTCCTATGTCAGATGCAACCACAGGCTCCCAAGCACCAATCACGCCACTCCTCCCAGCCACTCCCTCTGCCCCCGCCAGGCTTCTGTCGAACACCCAGCCAGAAAACCAGAAAATATCAGACATGGCACACGTCTGGTATTTTCTGAATTTTTTTACTGGACAGAGAGCCCCAAAACTGGACTGTCCAGTTGAATACTAGACACCTGGCAACCCTATTTGTCCGTTATTTTCTTCACTTAAAACAGGGGTAGGCAATAATTTTTGCCTGGGGGCAACTTCAAAAATTTTGGAAGTAGCCCCAGGCCACCCCGGAAGGGGCGGGGGCCTAAACAGGGAGGGGTGGGGCTACTCCAACCATGATTGGTCTGTGGGTGGGGGAAACCGCTTTGTCCCCCCTTCCTGCTAGGCATCCATGCCCTGGAAGAGGCTTGGCATGCTCCCCCACTCCTACGCCAACCAGAGCCTGGGGGCAGTGGAGCACGGAAAGCCTCCTCCTGCCCTGTGAGGAGCGCATGGGTGGGCTCGTCGCAGGGCAAAGGAAGCTTCACCCAGCTCCCTCGCCCGTAAGGGAAGGGGAGCGCGTGAAGCTTCCTACGCTCTCCCCCCGCCCCGTGAGCAGTGCATGGCGCTTCGAAGCGTCACATGCTCCTGGGCAGGGTGGGAGGAGGCTTTGTGCATTCCTCTGCCCCCAGGCCAATTAAGTGCCATGCACTGCTTGCAGGGTGGGCCAGAGCAGAGAAAGCTTCGGGTGTTCCCCCGTGCCCAGGATCTCTCCCACCCCCAAGAACAAGCAGGGCCTCCGTGGGTCGGATCCACCCTCTTGATGGGCCAGATCCAGCCCGCACAGGCCCTTTTGCCCACCACTGATTTAAAAAAATAACAGGTGTGGGGGAAAGGCCTCATGCCTTCTTGGATCTTTATGATGCAATACAGACAATTAGGAGGAGCATTGCCAGCAGATAGAAGTGATTATTCCCCTTTATTCAGCTCTGGCGAGGCCACATCTCGAGTATTGCGTCCAGTTCTGGGCCCCCCCACTATAGAAAGGATGTGGACATATTGGAGGGGCCAGCAAAGGGCAACCAAAATGATTAGAGCGCATGACCTACGAGGAGAGACTGAGGGATTTGGGTTTGTTTAGTCTGCAGAAGAGTGAGGGGGGATTTGATAGCAGCCTTCAACTTCCTGAAGGGAGGTTCCAAAGAGGACGGAGAAAGGCTGTTCACAATAATGATGGATGGCAGAACAAGGAGCAATGGTCTCAAGTTACAGTGGGGGAGGTCTAGGTTGGATATTAGGAAAAACTATTTCACTGGGAGGGTGGTGAAGCACTGGAATGGGTTACCTAGGGAGGTGGTGGAATCTTCATCCCTAGAGGTGTTTAAGTCTCGGCTTGACAAAGCCCTGGCTGGGTTGATTTAGTTGGGATTGGCCCTGCCTTGGGCAGGGGGCTGGACTTGATGACCTCCTGAGGTCTCTTCCAGCTCTATGATTCTAAAGTTTTGTTGGAAAAAGCTGATTCCTCCCTTGCTTTTTACATTAATAATTTGGGTATTTTCTATTCCAGAAAACTCTGACTAGAGCACAAACAAAATATGACACTACAATAAATAAGATGAAAAGCTGAGCATTAGAGAGGAGACAAGACTTTTGTCTGACTGGTTTAAAATACTTCAATTCAGCATTTTTGTTCAGTTAAGGTGCAAGTGCTCAAAATACACACCCCAAGACACCCTCTGACCCAAGAAATCCTCTAGCAAAGCCAGGATTTCCAGATTTGACATTCTCTGTAATGCCAAGGTTTAAAAAAATCAATTAGGAAAAAACCTCAGACTTTTACATTGTTATATATAACAAAAATCCTCAAACAATTTTAAATTTTTTTTTGCCAGTCACATTTAATTCTTTTAGCCCACTGACACTCTTCTTGAATGTAAAAAAGAAAAAGCTGATGATAGCAGGCTGTATGGGACTTTGCTGGAAAAGTGGTACAAATATTGACTTTAATATTTAAACTCTAAAAACAGCACCAAACTACTGTGGTGGTGAGCACATTAGAAAAAAAAACCAAGTTAAATAGACAAATTAGAAGTTATTTAATGTTCAACAGCAAATACTGACAAAAATGTGGGGTGAAGCATGGTTTAAAATCAGCTTATTTTGTTTAGAATGTTGCTTCTCTCCCAGCCCCACCATTTCAATTGTGACAACAGAAAAGTCCAGTTTCAAATTCCTGAAATTGTAAATAAATGTTTTACGCCATTTGCAAGATTTTAGATGAACAGCAGGGATTCTACATCGTGTGTGTAGATAGAAGTCTGATGGTAATCAGAATGTTGATGTGAAATCTCATTTGCCATAGAGACTAGGAACAAATGCTATACACATTACTTGAAAGCTTAATTTTCCATCTTTCTAAAGATGTATTCATTTCTAGCACTTAAGATATGAACATTAAATTAAGCAATCCTGTTGGTACCTCACACCAGCAGTGCTACTTTGGCACCTTTCAAAACTCTTGAGAACTTTTCTGTTGTTGTTTGACATCTGCCCAGTTAAAGCAGATTTGAAGAATATTTAGACATACAGGCAGTCCCTGACTTACGCGGATCCGACTTATGTCAGATCCGCACTTACGAATGGGGCTCTCTCGCCCCGGAGCTTGCAGGCAGCGGGACCACCCAGAGCACAGCGGTCCCACCACCTCGACCTCCGGGGGAAGAAAAGCTGCTCCGGGTGCCCCATGTCTGCTGGGAACCATCTCCAGCAGACCAAGGACACCCGGAGCAAAGCTGGGGAGGCGGAGGGGTCCCGCGCCTCTGAGGCTTTGCTCCCCGTGTCCCTTGTCTGCTGGGGGGGGGGGGGGGGGAGGGTAGGGGAAGAGGGGAAGGCGGAAGCTGTCACGAGTACTGGGATGCATCATGCTTTTCTTCCTGTTCCCCTGATAATAAGGGACTGAGGGAAAGTACTTGGATTCCATGCATGCCTCTCACTACTGATTGGTGAAGGGAGGGGATAGAGGAGTAATTCCTGGAATTAAAGTACTTTCCCCTTACTCCCTTATCCTCAGGGGAACAGGGAAAAAAGCAAGCCACATCCCGGAATGCATGACTGCCATCCCCCACCCCTCCAAAAAATTGCACCCTTGCAGAGGAGGGGCACAGAAGGGGGTTAGTTTAAAAAGCACCAGGTACACGCCGCTGTTGAAACTGATCAGTGGCTGATTCCAGGAAGCTGGGGGCAGAGCAATTCTGCCTCCAGCTTCCTGTAGTCAGCCCCTTGTCAGTTTCAGCAGCAGCAGGTGAATCTGGAGCCAGTTCCGACTTACATACAAATTCAACTTAAGAACAAACCTATAGTCCCTATCTTGTACGTAACCCGGGGACTGCCTGTACTTGAAAACAAATTATTTGAAAAATGTTTTATTTGAGGGAACCACCTTGCAATGTTCATAGTCTAACTATTGCAGCCCTGTTATTGCATGAGTACTTGAAGTGACACAGATTATCTAATGATATCAGCACTATTTCAAGACCAATCTTTATCCATTCATTTAATGTCTTGACTACTGTCCACCCAACATGAAGCATATATACGAGTGAGTTTCCAGTAGCAGCCTGTGGCTTTCCCCATATAGCTATGGCACTCAACTAGTAAATTGTTTATTTCTATCATTCAAGTGATAGAAGGGCAAAAGTTAAGTACAACAATAAATTAATAGTGAGAAGTTTTAATTTTAGCATGAGTGTCCCAAATAAGTGATATATATTTTTAAAATGCTTAGGATACAAGTGGCAAACACCTTCTAAAATGTGCAGCTCCATTAAGATCAGTGGGGCTACTCATATGCATTTTATGCTTCTTCATACAACCAGCATTCTTTTCTGAATCAAATTGGCTTTGAGAAGGCCAGAAAAACAGAACAGAAAAATGACAACTCCGGTCATCTGAAGAAGTGGGCTGTGCCCACAAAAGCTCATGATACCTTCCACATGTTTTGTTAGTCTATAAAGTGCTACCAAACCATTTGTTGTTTTTTTTCTGTAACAGACTAACTCGGCTACCCCCTGAAGTTACCACAACAGTTGTTCTTTGAGATGTCAAGTCGGTGTGGATACCACTGTTGTTATGCAAGCGCTCATGGATGTGAGAACAGATTTTTTTGCATAGCTGTGTCCATTGGGTCTATGAGATAACATAAAGGCAAAGTGGCCTTAACCCTCCCTTGTTTCCTTCAGTTTGAAACCTGCGATAGCTGGACCTTGAAAGTGGGAATGGAGGGTGGGTTTTGGGATTCACACGGACTACAACATCCTGAAAAATCCATTACTATAGGGTAAGCAATTGTACTTACTCCTCTCCAAGTATATTTTAGTGTGGATCCCAGTGTAGGTGACTGGCAAGCGGTATCTCTTTCAGGATGTCGAGAATGAGGACTGCCAGCTGCATCAAGATTGGACTACATCTCTTTTCAACAAGACATTGGATTTAGTTGGGTCAATGTAATAACTGAAGGGCATGAGATATGTTAACAGTGTTCAGTTTTTTCTCCGTGAGTGTGGCTTAGGGAAGAATAGATATTGCTCGATTTATTTGAAAAAACTCAGATACCATACTGAGATTAACTTTCTAAGAGTTCTCCGAACTCCTTTGTCTTTGATGAATGAGGTTACAGAAGTTCAGCGATAAGCACCTGATGCTCATTCATTCTCCTAGCCACAGTGACGGTCATCAGAAACTATATTTTAATGGATAAATGGTGGGAAAGCTCATCAACTTTAGGAGGCTCAGAGGTTTCATGCTGGGCTGGCTGTTACTGATAAATGTGCCTAAGATCCTTCAGCAATTTCAATACCTTTGATAGGAAAAGATTGAGGGTGACTAAATCAGAAGCAGATACACTGATATTGCTAAAAGATGATCAAATTTAAAGGAGAGTCTGGAATATTTCCAATGCAGTAAATAATCCAGAATTGTATGTACCAAGGCCTGCTTTGACAGTAGGCCATGTTGGGGGTCACATCTAGAAAAACTCTTTACTTGAAGGAGCAAATCCTCCTCGTGGACTGTTTTAAGATAGAATTTCCTGAACATGTGAAGTCACTTCCCAACGTATTCAGCCAATCAGCTGTAGAGTCACCAGTTCTGGATGGAACATTTGTCCCTGGTTTAGTGATAAGAGTAGATGCTCTGGAAGCCTGATTGGAGGCCACACTGACAAACAAGAAGCTCATCTGCCTCCCTTTCTAAAGACCTATGAACATGAGTGTTGCTCAATCACCTTGGAGATTAGTGAGTCTGGAGAGACATACAGTAGCCTTTATTTGGGTGGAGAAGGAAGCTGGAGCATTTCTCAGGCCTGTCCTGCTAGGTTTCCTCATTGTCTCTCCGATTCTGGCAAGGGGGCTCTTGTTATAGTTATGCTGAAGGGGACCATTATCTTCTCCTGAAAATATGTGATGGGCCGCAACTGGTGAGAGAGAAGACTTCATTATGACTAGAAGGGCCACAGTGGTAGATTGTGCATGGCCTATCCTTTGCCAGTGTTAGAGGGGCCCACAGGACTGGGTGTACCTAGCATACACCTTACAGTGTTATAATCTCTCTGGTGGAGTCAGGAAACAAGAGGCCTAGGTGAGGGGGAACTCCTCCTCTTCTGGGAACAATCGCGACATCCAACACAGTTGCAATGAAGATGATGCTGGATGAAAGGTTAGAGCAGATCCCCAAAAGCAGACCTAGTCAGGAATAGATCATCAGCCAGTGCAAGATCAGTGCCTGAAAGGGGCTTGCACTTCCGTATGAGGCAGAAATCTCTCCACTTTCTTCCGCAAAGTCTGAGGCTCTCTTTATGAATGGCTTCAAGAGATGCAGGTTGAGCTTCACATTCCTGGATTTCGATGTGTGGGAAGAGATGCAACAGCAGATGGAACATTTTTTAGGGAGGGAAGCTTTCAGGCATCAAACCACTGCAAAGAGGTCCACCATATTAAATAGATGTGCAACTTTACCCTGATGCACAAGTAGAAATGGATGTGTGTGTGTGTGTTTTTCCTTTGTTTGTTGGAATCACCAACTAAAAGGAATTTTAAAAGATGAGTATCTTTTTACAGGTATGTTTGGAGCTTAGATACAGGCATCACTGGATTGGACACAGTTGGGATTTTGCCTTGCTGCCACAGGTGAGTAAAGAAATGGAAGGGTTGTTCATGTGACTGTTCTTTATGCCACTGCACGGTACATGAGGACACACAGGCTACGTGCATGGTGCCAACTGATATGCATATGCAAGGTATATGTGCATGATGTGCATACATGCCCTACAGCTGAATCCACGCTGACAGTACTCAAAGAACCTCATGCATATTATTTCAGAGCACTTTATCTACACAGTAGTTTTGTATCAAATGTAGAAACAGTTACTGCCACCTACTGATGAAAAATGCTAAGTATTTTAAAAGGTGAACAGGATTTATTCAGATCTTCAGTGTTGGAAAATGTCTTTTTTAGATATAAGTAAATTATTTGCAGTATTTAAAAGATTGTGTGATCCAGTTTTCAGAACGATAAAAATATTTAACTTACTCTGATCTTATTTTCAGTATTTCTTCCATCGCTTTATTCTGAAAAGGTTCAAAACAGCAAGTGTTACACCGGAAAAATTTAGATGCTATAATACCATTTATAAACAATTATTTAAAAGCAAGCTTCTTAGTCTTTTCTAACACTAAAATAATCCTTTAGTACTACCATGGCTAATGTAATCAACATTCACAGCTCACTTGTAAGAGATACAGGTGTCCTTGTTCTAAATTTTGCATTGATATGAAACAGAATAAAATATGACAAGCAACACTTACAAACAGCAAAACAACTGAACAACAAATAAAATAATACCTTTGTGAGCCTCTCTTCAGCAATTTCTCTTTCTCTCTCTCTCAGTTGCTCAATGTCAGAGTGCTTGTGACCACTGTAGAAGTCCAAGAAAGATGGATTCTCATTCTTATGTGCAAAGGGAACCATTTATAAAACACAAGAGCTGCACCAGAAAAACTAGTAACACGTGTATTGCTGCTTGCTCAGGATCTGATTATCATGTATCAAAATTATATAGCTCTGGAAGCAGTTTAAACTTCTATATACTTATGAGTTTTATTCGCAAACAACAAAAAACACCCTCCCCTGCCCCAAAACCAACCAAACCAAAAAATCTCTCCAAATGAGATTTTTTGCTAAGTGCAAAGAAATCACCATTTTAATTAAATAGTCTCATTTGATAGTTCAACGGAAACATCTAATACAGAGCATAATGATAAGCCTCATAGTTTCAAGTAAACATTTTAGCTGACACAATCTTGATGCTGTGTATAGATTGCGGAAAGCAACTCCCTCCTAAGAGAACTCAATGGTCTTGCTCAGTTAAGAGGAAATGATATTTATTCAGAAAGTTAGAGACTTGGAGTTTAAAGGCAACAACAAAAACACTCAAGAAAAGAAGCTACCAGAAAGCAAAAAATTTATTTCCCTTTTATGGATCATTTTAGTGCAGGCCTGGGCAAAATACAGCCCACCAAGGCACCAGATCCATTCCCCTGAGGCAGCTGGGAGCCTCAGGCAGGCGAGGGAGGGCAGAAGTTTTAGGAGCCGTCCCGCCCCCAGCACATTCCCATTGGCCAGTAACTGGCAGAAACTGGCCAATGAGAGCTGCTTGTTAGAATAACAAGCAGCTAAGAAGAATCAGGACACCTCTCTCTCCTTGGCTCAGTTATCATGAAGCACATGGCCAGGCAAGCAGGCTGGCCGAGAAACATTTTAAGCTCTGCAGGCAGACACGCTAGTTTGACAGCTGACAAAGTAAGTCTCTTGGCCACGGCCTGCTTCTGGCACCCTTGCTTCCCCTCCAACTCTCTGCCCCCCCAACATACCCAAACCCTCTGTCCCCCTCTTGCACTCATACTCCCTCCCAGATCTGGGCACCCCAATCTCCTGCCCCAGATCACAATCCCCTCTTCCTTAGGTCACATCCCAAACCCCTGCACTCCGGTCCCCTGCCCTAGATCACAACTGCCTGCTTCATCCCAACTCCCTCCCAGACTCCAGTCTCTGTCCTGCACTCCAGTCCCTTACTCCAAGCTCCCTCCTGCACCCAACTTCCATTCCAGACCCCGCATCTCCATTAATATCATGGAAGAGTGTGGCTTTCAACCACTTTCAAAAATCTTGGAGTGGCCCCCCATCAAAAATTTTTGCCCACCCCTGTTTTAGTGATTCTCTTTAGAAAAAATATTAACATTTTATTATCAAAATTATTGAAGCTAGGTGAGAAGACACACATATTAGGTATGTTAAAATGGGTTTAAGTAAATGTCTAACTGCAGAAAATTTCAGCGGTTACATGCAGTGGACCTCTTGCCCCCCTGCTCTGCTGCCTCTGATACTGCCGGCTCCCCACACATACCGGGAGCCTGTGGCACGTAACCGATGAGCCCGGGCTCACTGATTAACCACGTACATGTTTATGCTTTCACATCCTAAATACATATACTATTGGCAGAGCTGGTAGCAATGCCTGTTATTCTGACTCCAGAAATTGGAAGATATATACAGGAAAAGAAAGGATTGTCTCAAGAGGAAGTCAATCAAATACTGCCCTGGAAATCTGAATATCATCCCTACCACAGACTCCCTGGATGTTGCTAGTATTACTGACCTCTTATGAAAAGTTTCTCATTACATACTCCTTATTTACTGGATGTGTGATTTGATACCCTGGGATCTGATTTGCAGAAGTGCTGAATGCTCACAGCTGCAACTGAAGTCAATAAAAGCTTAGGTGTGACTGCATTAAGTACTACATGATGCTAAGTACTTTGAAGAAAAAAAAAAAATCACATCCAAGTGTCTTATGCTGGATACCCAAAATCAGTTAGCATCTGACCTTTCTCTATCCCTATCTGTAAAATGGGGATAATTTCCTCTTGACACACACACAGGAATGTTGTGAAAATAAATGAATGTTTATGGAATAACCAGATTCAATAGTGATGAACACCCACAGAAAACTCACTCTGCAGATTCAGACAAAATTCATACTTTTTACAATTTAAAACGTAATGCACCAGTTTGAACCTTTTTATCATCAGTCATCTTTCCATTTTGCATGAAGTATAGAAACAGTTATGTTTCTTACTCTCAGAGAGGTGTGGAATCCTGACTTCATTTAAGTCAATGGCAAGATCCCAATTCTAAGTTAAAGCTGAGCGTATAAATAGGAGTTATTAGTCTGTTTCTTTTATAACTTAGTTGCTGTATTGTAATACTTTGAAATTTCAAGGGTAATACAATTTACTGGCCATTAAAGCATTTTCATAAAAATAGATTTCATTGACTTATCTTAGTTTAAAGAGTTCTGAAACTGTATAGTTTAGTTTACATAATTAAGGGTTAGGACAGCTTTTTACCAGTTCTTCCGTTCTTTCTGATAGTCTTCAAGCTGGCTCTGTAGGTTCCTATTATTCTCTGTTAGCATCTGCATTTCCAGGCGCAGGTTTTCTAGTTCACATAACTGTCCCTAAATCAAGCAAGGAAAACATTATTTGGAGACTAAACCATAATTCTTGTTTTTGTTTCCAAGTGAACATTTCTAGATTATTCTTTATTTTGTGCTTTACTGGAAAGTGTTCAATGAAGACGTAAGAAATTATCTTCCAAGAGCCCGTCATAAGCAAAGTTTTGGGGAGGGGACAAGCATTGCCCCCTCTCTCCAAAAAGCAAGCCACAGGCATTCTTTTCACACAGGTCCATTAGCCTGACTGGAGCTCCTCCCTCCCCAAATTTAGAAGCCAAACGTCTATACCAGGAAAACATGAACTTGCTTTGCAGAAAGCTACTATTGCTGGTATATCATCAACAGAGATTGCAACCAAGTGAAAAAAAGACAGCATTTTGTATCACTCTGCTTTTTTAGAATGCTACCTGTGGAGGAAAAAAGAACAGGCTTCCCGTATGGTAATGCAGAGAACCAAACATCAACCCACTAAGATTATATAAAGTATATAGACTAACTTTAGCTTTAAAAACTACCTTTTCTGTTTACTTCTCATTACCTTTAGTCTTAGGATTTCATCATTTTTCGATGTTCTTTCTTCATTTAATTCAGATACAAGATGCTCCAGAGTAATTGCAGAAGCTCTCCTGTCAGCTATTTCCTGCTCCTGAGTTTCCAGGAATTTTGCCAGGTTTACACCACGGTTAGGGGGAGTTTTTGGACTCTGACAAGTAAAAACAGTCATACCCATAGTTGGTGGGTGTTTTCTTTCTACTAGGGATGTAAAATCCCAGTTGTTTAACTGGTTAGACACTGTGTTTAACCAGTCAACCAATTAAGGGGGGGGGTGGGTTCCATCCCTGCTGCAGCAGCCCCCCTACCCACCATGGCCAGACTGGAGCAGCCTTCCTGCTGCAGGCAGGGGCTGCTCAAGCCTGCAGTGGGCCATGTGGGGCTGGAGCAGCTTCATGCCCATGGTGGGTGGGAAGCTGCTCCAGCCCCCACCGGTTAACCTTTCACATACCTACTCTCTATTGTGTAAATATGCATTAAAAGGTTTTGCTTCTAGTGCTGTGTAACTAGGAGACAGGCATCAATAATGCTGTTTACTTTACAAAACAGAAGTAGGATTTTAGACTATACAACTCTTTTCAATCTATTGTTACTATTTCTTTACCTAGTTTGAAGGCATTTTTCCACGTACGCACACTGCTTTGTTTCTTCAGTGAAACAAGCTATAGTATATTATGAAAATGAAATATTATACCTGTGGCAGCATTATTGTAGCAGAGTCCACAAAACAATCTAATTGTTGCATTTTTAGTTCATAGTCATTCTTCCTCTTTTCCAGTTCTTCTGTTTTTTGGTCCAGCTATTATGAAGCCCAATCAATTAAAATTCAGTTGACACTTAATGTTCATAAAATGTTGAAAGAATTAAAGCAAGAACTAGTACTTTGTAAGTATGCAAGTTTGAGATAGATATATATATAGTGAGTATTAAGTATTTTAGACTTTACAATATGGTTTATCATATCAATAGTTCTTCACATTTACATGTGGTCTTGTTCCCTTATTAATCTCCATGCAAACACTAACCTCGCTCTACTTAGGGTGCATAGATGAACACAATGAAAATCCAAGTGTGGTATATATAGTCAAATGTGTCAGTGAAAGGCTGTGACAAGGGATGGCAGCGGGGAAACGCTCTGGTCTGCAACATCCATGGTCTGGCATGATTTTCATTAGCCAGATGTCCACTTTTCATGGGTGTGGCCAAGTTTCCCACGATCCCATAAGGCTGGGTTATATCCACCAGTCCTGGATCCCAGTGTTCTGTGCTGTTATTTAGCGCTAACTTACCCCTAATGTCTTCTAAGGGCCCAGCAAGCAGTGGAAGTGTTGGTAATACTGCTAGACAATATTGACCTCCCATGGTCTAGCACCTAGTAGGTCCCAAGAATGCCTGACTAGAGAGATTCAACCGTTACCTGTATTAGGGGAGTGTGCAGTATATGTACTCTACACCCTGCTGTAAGGAGCATGCAATGTAAATGTGCCCTAAATACAGATAGATATTTGTGCTCCAAAAGATATTAGGGTTATCTTTAAATCTAAATCACCCTTTTACTTAATATCTTGGAATAATGGTGCTATCCACAAATAAACTTCCACATATGAATAGGAGGAAAAAGAAAATCCCATTTTGTACTGCTCAGACCACAGGTTGCTTTGTCTTAATTTTTACTCATGTAAAAATTGCATGATGCAAGTCTCTCTCTCTCAAAACAAAACCAAGAACCCACACACACCACAAAACCAATAGCTGACTCTTTAGGCAGAACTGCCTACATTTTACCTGTTTCTTAAGTTCCTGGATTAAAGCTTCTTTTTTTACTAAGTCTTCTTGTGCACACTGAAGCAACACTGTCTGCTTATTAGAATCCTCTGTTAACTTGCTTAGCTGCTCAGTGGTATAATTCAGGTCTTCATACAGGAGTTCTATCTGTTTTATTTAAATGGACAAAGAAAAGTAGGAACAGTGAAATAGTAATAAAATACCTGCTTTGGAGGAGTAAAGTGGTGCATAATTCCAGTTCCCTCTGACTTGTTTAAATGAAGTCAGAACTGAAGTAAATATTAATCTCTAAACTAATTTTGGCTGTTCTTGATACACAGTATCTGAGCCCCAGAGCAAAATTCTGTAGCAGTTGCCAAAGGTAAATTAGGATATTTTAAAGTTCATTAAAACTTATATCATGCTAGGAGTCTACTACAGGCCACCTAGCCAGGTGGAAGAGGTGGATGAGGCCTTTTTTAAACAATTAACAAAACTATCCAAAGCCCAAGATTTGGTGGTGATGGGGGACTTCAACTATCCAGACATATGTTGGGAAACTAACACAGCGAGGCACAGGCTATCCAATAAGTTTCTGGACTGCATTGGAGACAACTTTCTGTTTCAGAAGGTTGAAAAAGCTACCAGAGGAGAAGCTGTTCTGGATTTGGTTTTAACAAATAGGGAGGAACTAGTTGAGAACTTGAAAGTGGAAGACAGTATAGGGGACAGTGATCATGAAATAATAGAGTTCATGATCTTAAGGAAAGGTAGAAGGGAGACCAGCACAATTGAGGTTATGGATTTCAGGAAGGCAGATTTTGATAAGCTCAGAGAACTTGTAGGTAAGGTCCCATGGGAAGCAAGACTGAAGGGAAAAACAACTGAGGAGAGTTGGAAGTATTTCAAAGGGACGTTGTTAAGGGCCCAAAAGCAAACAATTCCGCTGTGTAGGAAAGATAGAAAATATGGCAAAAGACCAGCTTGGCTTAACAAGGAGATCTTGCATGATCTCAAAATAAAAAAGGAGTCATATAAAAAATGGAAACTAGGACAACTAACAAAGGATGAATATAGGCAAGCAACACGGGAATGCAGGGGCAAGATTAGAAAGGCAAAGGCACAAAATGAGATCAAACTAGCTACAGGCATAAAGGGAAACAAGAAGACCTTTTATAAATACATTAAAAGCAAGAGGAAGACCAAGGACAGGGTAGGCCCACTGCTTAGTGAGGAGGGAGAAGCAGTAACAGGGAACTTGGAAATGGCGGAGATGCTCAATGACTTCTTTGTTTCGGTCTTCACCGAGAAGTCTGGAGGTGTGCCTAACGTAGTGAATACAAGCAGAGAGAGGGTAAGTTTAGAAGATAGGATACACAAAGAACAAGTTAAAAATCACTTAGGAAAGTTAGATGTCAGCAAGTCACCAGGTCCTGATGAAATGCATCCCAGGATACTCAAGGAGCTGATAGAGGAGGTATCTGAGCCTTTAGCTATGATCTTTGAAAAATCATGGCAGACAGGGGAGATTCCAGAAGACTGGAAAAGGGCAAATATTGTGCCCATCTATAAAAAGGGGAATAAGAACAACCCAGGAAATTATAGACCGGTCAGTTTAACGTCTGTCCCAGGGAAGATAATGGAGCAGGTAATTAAGGAAATCATATGCAAACACTTGGAAGGTAATAAAGTGATAGGGAATAGCCAGCATGGGTTTGTGAAGAACAAGTCATGCCAAACTAATCTGATAGCTTTCTTTGATAGGATAACGAGCCTTGTGGATAAGGGAGAAGCGGTGGATGTCATATACCTAGACTTTAGTAAGGCATTTGATACGGTCTCGCATGATATTCTTATTGATAAACTAGGCAAATATAACTTAGATAGGGCCACGATAAGGTGGGTGCATAATTGGCTGGATAACCGTAGTCAGAGAGTTGTTGTTAACGGTTCTAAATCCTGCTGGAAAGGGATAACAAGTGGAGTTCCTCAAGGGTCTGTTTTGGGACCCGTACTGTTCAATATCTTCATCAATGATGTAGATATTGGGATAGAGAGTACGCTTATTAAGTTTGCAGATGATACCAAACTGGGTGGGGTTGCGACTTCTTTGGAGGATAGGGACATAATTCAAAATGACCTTAGCAAGTTAGAGAAATGGTCAGAGGTAAACAGGATGAGGTTTAATAAAGAGAAATGCAAAGTGCTCCACTTAGGAAGGAACAATCAGTTCCATACATACAAGATGGGAAGCGACTGTCTAGGAAGGAGCATGGCGGAAAGGGATCTAGGGGTCATAGTGGACCACAAGTTGAATATGAGTCAACAGTGTGATGCTGTTGCAAAAAAAGCAAATATGATTCTAGGTTGTATCAACAGGTGTGTTGTAAGCAAAACTCGTGAAGTCATTCTGCCGCTCTATTCTGCACTAGTTAGGCCTCAGCTGGAGTACTGTGTCCAGTTCTGGGTGCCACATTTCAAGAAAGATGTGGAGAAATTGGAAAGGGTACAGAGAAGAGCGACAAGAATGATTAAAGGTCTAGAGAGCATGACCTATGAAGCCAGGCTTCATGAACTGGGCTTGTTTAGTTTGGAAAAACGAAGATTAAGGGGGGACATGATAGTGGTTTTCAAATATCTAAAAGGGTGTCACAAGGAGGAAGGCGAAAATTTGTTCCTCTTGGTTTCTGAGGACAGGACAAGGAGTAATGGGCTTAAAGTGCAGCAGGGGAGGTTTAGATTGGACATTAGGAAAAAATTCCTAACTGTCAGGGTGGTCAAATATTGGAATAAATTGCCAAGGGAGGTGGTGGCATCTCCCTCTCTGGAGATATTTAAGAACAAGTTAGATAGACATCTGTCAGGGATGGTGTAGACGGAGCGTGGTCCTGCCTTGAGGGCGGGGGGCTGGACTCGATGACCTCTCGAGGTCCCTTCCAGTCCTATTATTCTATGATTTTATGATTAAAATGTTAATGTTTTCCATTAGTAAGTGGGGCTTCAGAGGTTTGTCTTGCAGTTTTCTTAATTTGGCCATGACTCGTCTATGTGAGACTTACTACAGAAAAATTCTAGGTGGGTGGGCTGCCAGCCTAATGCACAGGAAAGTAGTATGGAATATGAGCCCACCCCACATTTGTCCCGCGGACTGGGCATCCTCCCATTCTAGATATAGTGCCTTGGAGTGGTGCTGTAACCCAATGCTCAAATTTAGCCTGGTCACTCCTCTAATGATGCTTATGACCCCTGTGAAGGACATGATACTCCAAGAAGCAACTTGGCTCAGCCAATCTTGGATTTTGTAATTTCCATTCCTACTTATCTGATGAAGTGGGTTTTACCCAAGAAAGCTCATAATCCTATATACTCGGTTATGAAACTACAACTGGAAAACTTGATTGTTTTAGTGTACCCAAATGTCTCGTGGTATCCATGTTAGTTTGTTGTTTTTAAAAATGAGTAGTCCTGTGGTATCTTAGGGTATGTCTACACTACCCCCCTAGTTCTAACTGGGAGGGTAATGTAGTCATACGGAGTTGCAAATGAAGCCCGGGATTTGAATTTCCCGGGCTTCATTTGCATAAAGCCGGCCGGCGCCATTTTTAAATGCCGGCTAGGTCAGACCCCATGCCGCACGGCTACATGCGGCACGGACTAGCTAGTTCGGATTAGGCTTCCTATCCGAACTAGCTGTACGCCTCGTGGAATTTAAAAATGGCGCCGGCCAGATTTATGCAAATGAAGGCCGGGAAATTCAAATCTCGGGCTTCATTTGCAACTCCGTATGACTACATTACCCTCCCAGTTAGAACTAGGGGGGTAGTGTAGACATACCCTAAGATACCACAGGACTACTCATTTTTAAAAACAACAAACTAACATGGATACCACGAGACATTTGGGTACACTAAAACAATCAAGTTTTCCAGTTGTAGTTTCATAACCCAAATATTGCATATTTTCAGAATTGTGAGTTCAGTGATTTTTCTTGTTGCCTTAAAACTGTATTATGTACTACTCTACAGATATCCGAATTGGATCCTGATACTAAACTGTAGTCAGTCCAGGTACAGTAAGCAATATTAGTTCTGGTTTTCACCTCACAAAGACATAGTGTGGAAGCAGGGAAAGGGGATAAGGGTATCTGTGTGCAGCCATCTTAGGTTTGTCAGTAGCAGTGCAAGAGTCAGGCTAAGTCTGTGGCCTGACAGTGAGAACTGTAAGAAGCCTGCCTTTGCCTCTCACTTCCATATGGAGATAAGGATGGAATGCTGACTCCAGTGAGAACCTTGAGATAAGGTAGCATCTGAGAGGAACTAAGAGATAATTGTTAGCCATTGTTGTATGTAATGGGAAAGTATATATACTGCTGCTTTTACTGTTTGTATTCAAAGATCTGCCTAAGGAAAGCCCCCCGTACGGTCACAGCTTCCCTTGCAATTGCTCGAAATAAAAACTGCCTTTAGCTTGTTGCTTATTAAATGCAGAGTGAGGACTTTGTTTTCTTCCACAATAGTAATATAGACACCAAATTCATTAAGGTCTGAAGTAGAGTCTGCAATCTTACTATGTTCCCTAGCATATTGGAGATTTATACACAGCGGAAGGGAGGTTTTTGAGAGGTGAATAGTCTGTTCTGGTAGATGCAAGAATGGTGCTAAGTTGCAGAACAGAGGCACTATGCAGTCTGAAATGGTTATTTTATGAAGACTTAGTCAAACCTGAGGACCTTCTCCTGTTAGCTATAGTACATTGTAGCAAGAGACTGCATAAAGAATATCAAAAACAAACAGTTGAAAGGAAAAAGATGCAGCCTTAATCAGACTATGCATCTAACATTTTACTCCAGCAGGTGGAGCTTTTGGTTAAAGTGATGGGTAAAGGAAAAACTCATCACAAGAGCCCTGGAAAAAACCCCAGCTTGGCTAAACGTAATATTATTTTACTATTCTGAGTCCAATATAATTTAAGGACCCAAAACTACTTCATCTAAACTCGGTTGAATGACTTTTATTAGCTCTAAGAAGAGGTGATTTAGGCCTTTGGTATAGTTTTTTTTAAAGTACCTTATTAAATATTTAAGAAAAATATTGAAACAGTTTAATGGCATTTGCCAGTTCCACTTAAACTCTTGTACCTCCTTTCCAGCCAATGATACTCTGTACTGAAGTGAGGTTAAATTCCATGTAAATACTTTAAGCAAAAAAAACAACAACAAAAAAAACCCACAAACACAACCCACTGGTCTCTAGCAGAAATAATCACAATATGGTACTGATGTTAGCACTCTTACATTAACTTTATCAGCTGTCTGCTTTCTCTCCACTGCTTCTCTCAGCTCCTCAATCTGCCTCTCCTGATCCTCTATGATTGCTTTATTTTCATCTTTTGCAGCCAGGGCAGAATTATACTTCCACTATGAAAACAGCAAAGTTTTAGAATTATGACAATGCTAAATTCTACAAACAAGGGTTTTGCATGAGAACCAAAGTTGAGATTATCAATTCAGTGTTGCATGACTATGTTAAGATCATATCTATTAGTGAGAGTCAAGATGCCTTGTTCCTTTCGTAGTTCTGTTATGTCCTGTAATACCCTGGGTCAGTTCTGCCTACATAGCAAAATTATTTCAGAATAACTATGCGAGTGTCTACACAGCAATTCCGTTATTTCAAAATAATTTAAAAAATAACAGACAGCTTATTCCGACTTCTGTAAACCATGATTCTACGAAGAATACCACCTATTCCAAAATAGCTATTTCGAAATAAGGCATGTGTAGATACTCCAATTCTGCATTTCGAAAGAGCACCTTGCCAGTGCCATTCTACGTTATTCCTCTCTTGGGACTCTAAATTGAGATAGCATGTCTCCATTAGGGAAGCCTGCCTCGGACTAATTATGAGGCTTCTCTGCAGTGTAGACATGATATTTTGAAATAAGCTATTTTTAATAACTATTCCGGAATAGTTTATTCTGAAATAACTGTGCAATGTAGATGCAGCCTTAAAGGCTCTACCTCTAGCACATGTAAAATAGATACGATGCTAACCTACTTCACAAGGGTGCTGAGAATATAAATATATTTGGAAAGTATTTTGAGATCTTCCATGAAAGTTGCAGTGATAGAGAGAACTATTTTTATAGGATATATACATGGCAATGAATGATCGCCCATCGCATCGGATACAATATGCACCCAGAAAAATTACAGTTCATATTCTATAGTCATATGTTCAATTCTGTGCTGGGTCTTTTTGGGTTCATAGTACATGCGAAATACTGCATGTGTTGCTATATCAATTTACAATAAGACAAATTATAAATACTGTAAGACCTGTGTTATAAAAAAAAGGCAAAAGACAAATCTCTCAGTTTCAGTGAAAATGCATAGTTTAGTAAGAGCAAGTATTTATGCACGCAAATGCTATTATAAGAATCTTATTGCATCATGTATGCTTGCAAGACTGGGACTTAGGAGTTCTCACAGAAGTACAGTTTCTATCCTACAAATCAATTCAGTGACTTCAGCTTCATTTACTGATCTTCCAAACCACCAATTTGTCAACAAAATTAAACAAATGTGTTAGCTGATTGAAGCTCACAGTCCCATACAGAGAAATTTCTGCCCATCTACCATGTGAAAAAAGTTCAGTTTCCGAGATTACCTAGAGCAGCAGTTCCCAATCTTTTCCAGATGTGGACCCATTTTGACAATTCAGGAAGACTTGGTCACCCAAGGCAATTCAAAAACGGGGGGGAGGAGGGAGGGCAGAGAGACCTAGGGAGACACTTGGTGACCCTTCTGAAATGTAATGGCGACCCATATTTGGGTCCCGACCCATAGGTTGGAAAACCCTGACTTAGACAAACTGCTTAGAAGAATGACAAGTTTTTTTCAAACTGACCTTATAGCAAATTACACTAAATTACATGATAAAATATCTAATTGGAAGTGTTCAGCCCTGGCATTTCATTCCATTTTTGTGACACCCAACATTGCTCCACATCTTTTCAAAAACAGAACATACATTTATGTCCTCCAGCTCTCTTGAGAGTCTTTCAATGGACTCTGTCTTGAGACTAATAGATGTCCGCAGTTCCTGGATCTGGTTCATCAAATCAGATACAACCTCCTGCAAAAGAAGAAAAATGCTGAACCCCAATTTCATTTGTCACTATTTCAATAATTTCTGCATAGCCCATATTTCACTTTGAACTAAGAAAATATTTTGAATGGTTTTTTAATTACTTTGATTAGAACATGCAGGGACAGTAGAGTTAAAAAGCACCTTTCTTTGCACTAAGATCTTATACAGAAAGTTGAATAGCTTATTTATTATTCCAAGATTAAAAGGAAGAAGACTATTTTGTAGTAAAACTGTTAGTCCCATCAGATCCTTTTCTGGTAGAAGGTTATGGATGTTGCTATAAGCAAAAACTTAATGAAATGAGTTATCTTCAAGAAACCATTACTGGATTTTGGATTTAGATTGACAATTCCCTCCCACCACAGTTGAGTTTTAGTTTTGATATTAAAACAGAGCAGGTCAGGTACTGATTTATCATCAGTGACAATGAGTTCCCACATAATTTTTAAATTAATCTGATAAACAGTGATAAAAGTTAACCACTAAAGGAGCTTTCAGAAAGTGGCGCAGCTATCTTAAATGAAACGTGCATTAATTGTACTGACTACAGCGAGATTCTTACTATGTCATTCCTTTGGGGTCTATTAGTCAATTCCTCAGCAGATAAGCCTGATTGGAAGCTCCTATTAATCAATTGGTGATCTGTTCATGACCTTGAGTTAGCTGTGCTGTCTGCTGGACAAAACAACTCTTTTGTCTTCCCTCTCCAGTTGTCCCCTTATATCTCCATCCTGTTTTCTCTGGCACTGTGCCACCCTTCTTTCCCCAGCTGTCTTGCAGATCCTGTGTCAGATGTAGTGAGAAACTTTTCCCATCTAGTATTGCAATTAGGAAGGGCTTGGCTTTCAGCTCTGCTGTAAGGAAGCTAATTTCTTACAGAACATGTGAACCAACAATAGAAGTAGATACCTTATCAGCAGAGTTAGTCCTCTCCAGAGAAGCAATAACATCCTCAGCAGTAGCCAGATTCTGTTCTAATTTCTGTAATTTTGCTTCCTGGAAGAAATTTCAATTTTAGTTATGGAAAGAGCCCTTGTTCTATCTTGTGTACATTTAGTATAAACATACCACTAGGAATAACCCAAGAGACATAGATGTATTGCTTAATATGCTGGAGAGGCCAAAAGGTGGTTAAAAAGCTATTGTGATTATTAAGACTTGAAAACACTGAATTTGTTTTACTATTAATCTTCTAATACTTAGTTCATCAATAAAAAGTTCTATTGCCATTAATATACATGACATCCATTGAAATCCAATTTTCAATTGTCAAAATGTGTTTTTTACCTGCTGCTCACATCGTGCCATCATTTCAGAGGACTGTTTTTCCAGCTGTATATTTTCAAGTACTTTCAAAAGTTCCCTAGAATAGAAAGAATATGCTTCTTATAAAGAGACTTAATCAAAACCTAAGGAAAAAAAAGTGGTAGAAATGTAGCCGTGTTAGTCTGGTGCAGCTGAAACAAAAAACAGGACTGTGTAGCACTTTAAAGACTAACAAGATGGTTTAATAGGTGATGAGCTTTTGTGGGCCAGACCCACTTCCTCAGATCAAATAGTGGAAGAAAATTGTCACAATTTTCTTCCACTATTTGATCTGAGGAAGTGGGTCTGGCCCACAAAAGCTCATCACCTATTAAACCATCTTGTTAGTCTTTAAAGTGCTACACAGTCCTGATTTTTAAGAAAAAAAAGACAGCTTCAACAAGAAACAAACTACATAGTTTGGCCCTGGGTCCCATTTAGTTTTAAAGATTCCTTTCTCTACCTCTACTAGCTGATTAATGCTATTCAAAAAGCTAATGGGTCTGCTTGCAGCCATGCACTGCAGCTGGTGTTAGATCTTTCACTTACAAAAGTAGTAGTGCTTTCTTTAGTAGGGCAAAGACACTAATTAAAAATCCATCAAGTAATCATCTCTGTGCTCCCAAGGGATGAAAATCTCTAAGGCACAGGTGAACTGAAAGTATTGGTAGCGCATTGATTTTTAATTATTTTCTCTTTTTAGAAAGAGTGCATCCATATTTACTGAACGAACATCTTAAGCATGTTTCACCTTATATCAGGCAATAAATAATGACAATTACAAAATTCATCATTCACAGGGATTTCAGAAGTTTAACAAACTCAACAGTCTTTGGGTCAAATTTATTCCTGGTAAGTTAACTCAGAGGTATTTTCCATAACAATGCATTTAAAAGGCTTGTTTCATTATTTTTGGAAAAATGTATGTCAATAGCAAGAGCTACAAAAAAATGAAACTTAGCAATAGGACCATTGACTTCAACTGGAAATCAAAACCACAATAATACTACTCACTTGGAATTATTTTCTTTGTCTTCTTGTAATTGCAGTGTTAGTTTTTCATTACGTCCTTTTTCCATTTCCAAAAGTTCCAAGAGATTCTAAAACACAATATAATTTGTTATAACATTCTGTTTGAAGTATACCAATTAACATATTTTAAACTCTTCTGTTAAGAGGCTTTTGGATATTTGGTATCAACATGTAATAATATAATACAGGTTGAACCTCTGGACTGGCAACCTCAGTACCTGACCAATGCCAAACAAGAGAATTTGCCATACCATGACGACGACGACAATATTGTCTAGCAGCATTACTATCACTTCCACTGCTTATTGGGCTCTTAGAAGACATTTAGTGGTAAACTGGAGTTAAATAACAGCCCAGAACACTGAGCGCCAGGACTGGCGGCTATAAACAAACTTTATAGGACCACAGAAAACATGGCCACACTCGTGATAAGTGAACATCCAGCTAACTAAAATCATGCCATACCACATATGTTGCCAGACCAGAGAAGGCCAGACTAGAGAGGTTCAACCAGTCTTTCAAAAAAGTAATGTAAAACCAAAGGAAGATTAGAAAGGAGGAAGAAAAAAAAATAGAAATCTCAAAATGCTATATAAAGCATACATAAAACAAAAACAAAGGTCTTGAACCCGAATTCTAAAAGGTAAACTCTAGAGCATACTGACAACTCTGAAATTCTAGTGCTGCCTATCAGTTGTCAGAAAGAGAAAGCAGTCCAAAATTATTTAAGACTTGGGGGGCACAACTTAACTGTTTTCTGATCTATAATTTAGGTGTTTTTTTTGCAGTTAAATAATATAGAATGTTAATTTTAAAAAGGAACATATATTTTCCAGTCTGTCAATTATTTCTTTAAATGCCAAAAGAGAAACCTTGAAATAAGTTTGTGGATCAGGCAGCCAGTATACAATGCAGAAAGGAGGCAAAAGCATTTGCCAAAGCCCTTGCACAAATTTGTTGATGTGCTCTGCAATCACTGAAGTTGGTGTCAAGTTTTCAAGGAAAGCAGCAACTAGATGCCAGGATAGAATTAATAAATCACTATGACAAGAGCATTACTGCCAGCGCATACAAGCATAAACTTTCAGTTATTTCAGAGATGCCACTTTTAGCCAGAATTGAAATCTGAACCCTCCAAGGTATACCTCCCAAAAGTCACCTTAAAAGTAATGCCTAATTTCTTTAGGAATTAGCCTCTCAATCAAACCCCATCAATAGATAATGATTTCTTTGGCAGACAAAAAACTTTAGCATAATGTGACTGGATTTTTTCCCTTAACCAGTGACTCCAAGAGTCAGCTGGAAAATTAAACAAACTTCTAGAAGTAACACCTTCCCAGACAGGACCACTATCAAGATAGTATTATGGCCTAACATTGGTGAAATCGTGTTAATAGATGTTACATAATTTGATTAAGTGAGCAGTGCGATTATACTGTGTAACAGCTTTGTATTTCTTACATGTAACTCAGTTTTCAGTGCTTCACTTTCTCGTTTGCTGTCTTCAAGCTGTTGCTTCAGCTGGTCAGTCTGAAACTTCATTACTTCATGTAAATTGTCATAGTCATCCTGCAGACTTGTTTTTCCCTCAAGAATCTTTTCATGTTCTAGCCTTCATAAAATTTTGTTTTGACATTATTAGAAAACAAGAATTTGTACTGGACAATAAATATCTTAATATTTTTAAAAAAGTTACAGATAATTCAGAGCGTGTTGTCTTGTTTTATAAAAATGGATGCCATGTCAAGACTTACAGGCTTTGGTTGTGTCATCACCCCCACCCCGACAATTCCCAAAATATGAAGTAATACCTTAAATGTTTTAAGGGGTATTGGTGGAGATGGTGGGAGAGAGGCTGTGCTGTTTTGGATATACAGCCACTGCTGCTTTCCTCTAAATTAAATAGCCAAGATTTACACCCTTAAAGATTATAAGTGATACTTTAGTCACCATCAGTCATCATTTGTCTGCTGATGGTAGTGATTAACATCAGGCTGGCCCTGTGTATCCACACATGTTTATTCAGTCACACTCTCTTACTCATGTATAATATGTCTCAAGAGATTTCTGCAAGTTGTATAGCTTATGTTTTCATTTCAACTGTTGTCTTAAGGAATACTAGGGGGTGGTGCTCCCCTACTCACTGTGCTCACCAACCCCTCTCTGGAGGTAGGTAGCCCCAGCCCTCCTCCCCTC